GGTGACAGTCCTTCACCCGATGCCAGTCCTGGTCCCTAACAGCCCCGTCCGGGATGGGCAGAGCAGTTCCTTGTGGCTCTGGTCACCCCAAATCCTGGAGACCCAGCAGCTACACACAGAGGAAGCACAAGGGACCCACATCTTTTCTATTAAAAAGAGGAATTCAGATGCATTTTTGGAAAGAGAAGATTGATTAACTCTTAGGCTTTTACTCCCCCCTCTCCAAGCCATGGGGCTGCGCTTCCTTTTGTAATCCTCCCTGTCCCATTAACTGACCACGATAAGCCCCATAAGATACCAGCCAGCATCTACACACACATGAGGATTTCCTTTTGATAACGAATTCAGCCTGATTTGACCTTTGAATTCAACAAGATGCAAATGAACCATGTGATTATGACAGCACAGACTTTTTAAGACTTCCCCAGCAATCTTTTCCTGCTCCTCACCAAAACTGTCCCCTTCCTTAGGTGATGCAGAACAATTTCAGTACTCTGTTAACCAGAAGACCAAGAAGTAGGTACAAACTCACCTGTCCTAACCCATAGCAATTCCATATATTCCTTGTAAATCTTATCTAAACTGGGCAACATTTCTTATCACTCCTACAAGGCTGGTGCAAGTCTCTGTGCATGCATCTCCAGGCCATGGGGTTAGATCCTCCATCCCAAAATACATCATCCCAGGACACCATGGGTACTGAAGAAACCCTGCGCAGCACCGAGGTGACTTGCCATGCTTTGATAGATACTTAAGAAAGGGTGTTTTCAGGAACTTTTTGAAAAACAATGGGCCAAACTCAGAGCCTCCCTGTGCAAGGAGACAATGTCCCAGCAGAGCTTGTGATCTGCTAGCAGAGAGGCAGGGGGGCTGGGAAGGGCAGAAGGAGAGGACTTGAGAAACAGGTCCCTGAGTATTTCTTTTCTCTTGACTACTTGGGAACTACTTGCCACCACCCAGGGAAAATCTCTCCTTCATTAGCGTTAGTTGCCTATGGGAGGTAAAACCAAGTTGCCTTTGGTGATATCTAAGTAGGGTGGGTCTTGTGTGGCAGCAAACAGTGGATTAACATTTGGGACAATAAAACCCTCATTGGTTTTTAACACTTGCTCACATTGACATCTATGAAAAAACTTGTGTCTGCTGCTCTCCTTCAATGATCCTATCAAGCGGTGATCCCCTCCATCACCCTCATCAGAAGGTGGCAGTTACACCTCATGTGTCCAAACCAACAGAGAAAACATCAGGTGTGGGATTTCTGCCGGGTGAGGTAGGGAGGGTGATACCTCTCCCCAGTCTCCTGCCCCAATTATAAGTTCTTTGCAGCGAGGACCTCACCACCTCCTGCAGGCTTTTACAACACCTTTTGCAACCAAATCCTCCATCAGATGTTGATTGCTGTTACCAAAAATGTGTCCAACAGACCCACAGTGGTCCTTAACGGGGAAAGCCGAAGCCTGTTTTAATGACATCTCTAACTGGCTCTTCGTATCTATCTTATGCAACAAATGAAGCACGCATCCCATGGAAAAATGACTCGTGGAACTTGTATATGCAAGGAGAGCACGATGGTTGCACACCTATAGGGTTGCCTCTCCCCACGGGAGTGAAAGGTGCATGGGAGAGACCTCAGGGTAGGTGAGCTGCGCTCCTCCACGACGTGGTGACAGCATTTCCCGAGGAAAGGTGACAGGAAGGAAGCGGGGACAGGTGCTATTTATAGCACAGCCGGACATCAGTGTCATTCCGCATGAGAAACAAAAGGTGCTTCACTAGCCCAAGACATGGCCCTTTCTGAATGTCACTGTCAAGGAGGGGAGGAGCCCACACGCACTCTGAGAGGGAACTGGTATCATTTATAAGACCAGCTGGAAAAAAATAAGATTTCTGGGTGCCAATGTGCTTTATCAGCTCTTTTATAAAACTGTGCTATATAAAGTACCAGCCAACCTGAAGGTCAGCTACAACCAGGCAAGGCCAGCTGGACCTGTGCATCATGCAGAGGTCAGCCCGGGGGTTGACTCCCCGACCCCAGCCGGATGTCCATTTGCAAGCAGTCACTCCCACACATGGCAGGAGGATGGTCACCTGGGATGTGTCATCCTTCTCGGATGAGGCAGGAAGAGACGGTGCCCCATGGACAGACATTGCTGGTGGGGTCTGGGGCGCTGCTTAGTGCCAAGTGCTCATTGCCTTCAGGAGAAGGGAAAAGCTGCCTGATGAAAACCAGACCCAACTGTGCCAGGGCTTTGGGGCTACCCTTGCTTCTAACTAAGAGAGCAGGACAACCTCTTTTCTTCTTGCAAATCCATTGCATGTCAACCCTACTCCCATCCTTGGCTGCTACCAACACCTTTCTAAGAAATCAGCTCTTCTTCCCTTGGGTCCAGGCATCCAGAGCTAGTTCCTAACCCTCCTCCCAACCCACACACCACCAAATAGCCCTGCTCAGCCTCTCCCAAGCCTCAGTGCCTCTGATGCCCCAACCACAGTCTTGCAATTTTGAGTCTCTCTGTATCCAGATGAGGTTTAAAACAAAAAACCCTTAACTCCCAACTGTTTTGCTGAGGGATGTTTATACCACCTGTATAGCTCCACCAGCTGCGAAATAAAGCTTTTCTCCCTCAGAATGATGCCTGTGACATTAAGATAACAGCACTGCACTTAAGCGTGAACAGCTTTGTAACCTATTTGTGCTCCAATACAGTGTGGGGTTTTGTTATTGTTTTGCTATTCCTTTTTTTCACCCCTATTTCTACCCTTTCCCCCCCTACTTCTACCACGCTTTTCTCATAAAATAACAATTCTGAGATCTCAGTTACTGCTAGAAATCAATTTTAAGGAGTGAGTGCTCTCTGGGGATAACTTGAGTGGCACTAAAAGGACTAAAACTCCCCTCTAGTCCCAAATGCACTGCAAAGGGACCCCGAAACCCGCCCCCCCAGCATCAAACTATGTGGCGTCGGGAGGGCAGGTCTGCTGAGGCCCCCAGCCAAATTCTAGGGATGGGACCACGCCTTTTCTGCTTAAATAATTATTTAAGAGACTGCTGTTTCACTCCAGCTCCTTCTCTCTGGGCTTCTTAGCTTTTGTAATTAAAATAGGTATGTTCTTCCGTCTAAGCTTTGTCACCAACATGAACGTCTGTGCAGGACTTGGGCAGGACTGCATACCCTCTGCTCTTTCCATTTTATTTCGTTCGTCACTGCTTAGGGTTGAAATGGTCCCATATCTCCTCCTGTATGATGATGTATCAACTGCGTTTTAAGACTTCTGTCTCTCCTCCTGGGGTGTTATCCCAGTGCTACTCGGTCTGGGCTGTATCTCACCCCGTGATCTTCCAACCCCAACCCAAGGCAGTTTCTTTTGCTATCTCTCCTTGCCATCTGCGTGGGAGGCAGGAATGCCTTGCAGGGCTGAATGCTTCTGTCTGCTGATGGTTTATCTGAAGGGACCAGAAAGAAAAATAAATAGAAATACACATCTGGCGTGATCCCTTGGATTGGGTGGTTTTTCAGATGGGAGGGAAGAACCAACACGCAGTTCCATGGCTCTGGTACAGCAGAGCTTTGGGCATGGGGCTTCAGGCAGGAGACCCCTTGGCTCTGCAGATCTCCTCTCCCACAGCATCATGAACTCTTTGGATGGCGGAGGAAGACCCGCTGGGTGAGCTGAGATGGGAGCAGGATGCTCCAACCTTCGCTGCTGATTTCCCGAGGAGCCCAGCCCAGTGCTGTGAGGAAGTCCACCCAGATCTCTTTTGCAACACAAAGCTTTTCAGTTTTGTTTTAACCACATTTGGTGATCACAGGGCTGCAACCCAGCTGAAAAAAGCTCCCTCCTTTTTTTTTTTTTCTAAATCACATGAAGAAATTGTCTTTAAAATTGCATAGAGAAAAAAAGTAGGGGGCCCCAAACAGGAGAGGAAACAGAGTTTGCTGCTGACAAACTGCCCTGCCCACAGAAGAATGTTTCTAGGATGCCTGAGCAAACTCTTTTCAGTTGTTTTTTGGTCATTTGGTAAAATTTGGGAAAACCAAACTAAGCACAGAATTAACTAAATCATGGCTGTTCACAAGTTGAGAAGCGATGGGGAGATTTGAGAACACACCCCAACAACTATTACAGGTGTGTGTAGGGCTCTCTCAAAAATTGCCCCATGAAGCATCACAGCTCAGACAGAGATTTCAGATCACTCTGGAAGAAAACATTGGCCACTTTTTTCTCCTGTTAAATAACATTAACCTTACAAACTCCTGGTTTTAGAAGTGCTTTATTGCCCTGGTTGTGTTGTCTCAGCCATAGCAGAACACGCTGGCAGAAATAAAGCTGCATGTACAACTAACTCCCTTATTCCCCGCTTATTTTCACATTCAACCACAGTCACGATTCCTATCAAGGACTCTAGATGCCCTCATATAATTAAATATGCAATTTACACAATTAAATATCCAATTGACCCAATTAAATTAACTCCATGGATTGAAATCACCAATGCCACAGGAACTCAGCTGCCTATTTAGCACATCCCCTCCTTCATGCAAACAAGCATCCGATGCTTGCTGCAAACCCCTCTCAACCATATCCACTTTGCAGGTGACCCTGAAAGTCAGCAAATTTTGCTTTTCAATAGAACGAGAGGAAGCAAGTCACAAGGACTCAAAGCTTTTACAGATAATACCTTGCCAGCTGCCTCTTCTGATACAAGTGGGGGGATCTGGCTATGCTGGAATAAGTAAAAGGGGAAGAGGAGGTCCTTAAGATACTCCTGGAGCAATATAGGACACATCCCACATTTAAAAGACCAATGAGGGGGATGAACAGACTCTGAATTTTCAAGACGTTAGTGCTCAAATAAGGGTTTACGCATTAACCCAATGCTGGCAGGTGCTAAACAGCAGTATTGTCCAAAGGCACTCCATGAGACAGTGGGGGAAGATGTGCAATAACGAAGACTGGAAAAAAAAAAAGAAAAAAAGCATTAAAGAGGTTTCACCTACCTCCGGTCATTTCTTCTCCTTCTGAATAGTTTTTTGGTGTGTGCGATTTCAGCTTCATGAGGCAATGGATGGTAACCCTGTAAAACAGAGGGAAAAGCAGTGATCAGCTCCAAGATACAGGAGGCATCTCCTGTATGGAAGAGGTCAGAGAGACAGAGCTGGGCACCCAACACATGAGCATGATCAAAGAGATAGCTCACATCCAAACATCCTTACAACATCTCAGACCCTATTGAAGCAGGCCTGGAAATCTACATACTTGTACCCTCTCAGGGCTGTTGCAATGAGCAGGGAATTAAATTATTTGCAGTTTCTGTATGGGAGAAACCACATGGGGCAACTAACTGTACCACATATGGATGGATCCCAATATACAATATCTATAGGCAATTCACCCACATCACACATGACACTGCTGATACTGGTGCACCTAAACTATCCACTTTCACTGGACTGTTTCCTTTGGATTTATCTAAAACTCAGCTGTAAGAATGTCTGCATGGGGACAACGGTCAGTAGCATTTTGAGGATACTGGAGTAAGCAAACGAAATGTTGGGGCTGTGCCTCCATACCGTTAGCAAGTCAACAACTTTTGTCATGAGCATTTTGCCATGCTTGCTTGTGAGCTAGGCAACCCATGCCACCCCTGAGGCAGGGACAGGTGCCATCCACCTATTGGAAACAACGGGGATGACCAGGACATTTAATGGTTTGCTCCAGTCACGTCAGTGGAAGAGCTGTGTGTAACTCAAGCTGCTGCCTTGTCCTCTCTCCACTGAGGGTGCCGACTCTCTGACTTGGTATGTTCATCTGATAAGGGGGATGCTGTATTTACCATCCTACTATGGGCATCGTGAAGCTTCATTAATGTGAGCAAAGAGCTCTGAGGTTCCTGGACGAAATGCACTATGTAAGTGCAAAGTATTATTTATTTTCCAGGGACTACAGAGCTGTCATAACCATAATGATTTTTATTTATGCAGTATTGTACTTCCCAGGCTGGCAATAAAAGCCCTGTAAAAGTCACTCCTTTTATTTCCATCGCAATCTCTCTTAGCCTCTGTGCTCCTGCCGCTGCTGGTGAATCACCGTGCGTGAGGGGCCATCAAGGAGCAGCCTGGGCAAGGCAAGGGCTGGGTGAGAAACTGTCTCATCGAGCAGCAGCTTTGTCACATTGGCATGACAACAGAACACACTGACTTAAAAAAAAAGTCCCTCTGCGTGAAAAGCCTTAAAAATGAGTTAATTTTAGTTGCAGATACTGAGATAATAAAATTTTGAGCTCCTCTGATGGAATATGTAAGGGAGGAGAAAGGTTGCTGGGGATGGTAACGAATTTAGGTTTGCAAATCAGAGTCTGAGACCAGCAGGGTTTATTCCGACCATTCAGCCTGGCCATCTGCAAAGAGCCTGGAGAAACTGCTACTGCAGAACCCTACAGTTCCTGCAGCAGCTGGAGCTTTCCACTTCGGAGACCTTCACTCTTTGAGACTTCAAGCAATGAAGAACTCACCCAGCCCCTGGGTAAATCCTGCTGCTGGTTAGCATGTCCTCATCTGAATCTTATTTTGGCTGCAGTCTTCAAGTGTGTTTCCTGAGAAGGTAGTTTCCCTTTTAACTTTCTTCTTCACTATTAACTCTTCTAGAGAAAATCTGATTTGCCATGATCATATGGTTTAGCACAGGCATTAGGAAACATGTTTGAGAGTAGTACCCACTCTCAGTGACCAAATTATCCTTCTCTCCCACTAAAACACAGTTAAGACTCAGAGGTGCCACACTGACTACTGCATCCTCCATGATCCCTCATACCAACGGTACAGAGCCCATCGTTACGTGAAGTTGCTTTGGCTTTCTTGCAGATGTGCTCATCCAGCGAGGATCTGCTCAGTGACGCAGGTTGTTCTGTGGTCCTCTGCTCACATCCCTGCACCCAGCACCAGAAAGAGCTCTCCTCATACTCCCTAGATCTTATGTCACATCTCAAATATGGCCCATCTTTGACTAAGAAGAGGTAGTTTGGGAGTATGGAAAGCTGGCAGCCTGCTCTCCTAGGGCTGTGGTTGGGTTATCATCTAGTTAACCAGGTCTGACTTGGGCTTCTGCAGCCAAACACCTCATGGTTAATTCTATGTGGCACCTTTCATGTCTAATAGCTTAGAATCATACTGGATCTTCTTCATTACTGAGGTCTGTGGTTTGAGTCTTCCTCATCATCTATTTTCCCAATCAATCACTTATTTTCACTGAAAAAGATTAATATCTCCAAGATCTCTATTCCTCTGAAAATTGGCTTGAAATTGGCCAATCAGTACCAAAGCGAATGAGAAAAGGAAGGGAGGAAGCAGACACACACAACCCCACCACACCAGCCATGCTAGTTTAGGAAATCAGGGTAAAAATAGTACAATACTCAGTGAGACTGTTTCCAATGTTGTACTACCACAGCAGACTTGGGGTATTTTTAAGAATTTAAGCTGCATTGCAGACACATGTGCAAATACAATTACCCTGAAAAATGAAACCATTTCTGCAGGACACAAGGACCTAAAGCACTGATTTCCTCAACGCGTAGTCTCAGGAGCTGTCTTTCTGCTCTTCCCAACTAGAAACCATACGTATGGTGCATTGTTGCATGTCCTCCTTGCAGACCATCCCTGTGCTTCCTCAGACCTTTGGCCACCAGCAGCAGACAGCGTGGGGTGAGAGATGGATTAATTACACGGGAATAAGACTCCTAATCCAAGGAGCATGCCTTGGCACTGCCTGTGCTTGAACAGAAGACAACTTTGTGTCCCCATTAGGAAAATCCAGCATCTCCCTTCTCCAGCTGAGCAGTTCCCTTCCTTAGCCCTAGTCATGAGACAATGTTTTGGAAAAAAACAGTCACCGGTCCCTACTCTTGTCTATTTTGGTGCCTGAGCTGTGCTAAATTTGGAAGGGGGAAAAGTTGACTTTTTTTGTGCAGCAAGCTGATGTAAAAGGAAATATCAGCAACTTGCAAGGAAGGCGGAGTGGCTGGAGAAGACCGAGGGTGCTGGGTGGTTGGGGACAGGTCAGAGTCCCAAGGGCACAGTGAGCACCTTGATGACATGGCTCTTGGGTTTGTCTGGAGGCTGCTCCCTATCATGGATCATGCAGGACAGAAATGGAAGTGACTTCAATAGAGCTGCCTTGCTGAGGACAACGTGGATCTGAAACGCAGCTCTTTTTCAGTGGACGCACTCTTTATGAAGCTGAAATCTCTGAACAGAGTCAAAGGGCTTGCAAGGCAGAAGACCAACCTCTACTCTGCACTGGGTCTCTAAGAAGACCTACACAAGAGGGATGGGTTTTGATCCTGCTTGGGCCAGAAGACACCATCAAGTCCAGGTGCTCATGGTTTTCATAGGCAGGTTTGCAACTTCTCCATGGGCAGCAAAATCACATTTGGTCTCTCTCCCACATCGGTTTCATTTTGATATTTTTTCACAGGTGGCTGGAGGACAAAGTAACAAAACCAACATTTCAGTGCTGCTGGTTCTGGAAGTGAGGGTGTGGGAAAAGCAAAGAACAAGGAGCCCATGGTCTCAGGATCGCTAATAGAGGTCGTTTTCAATTTTGGAGCTAAACACTCTGCGGTTTACATGGTGGGAAGCTTGGAGCAGAACCTGAGAAGCCCACGGGACTTCTAATGCATGTACACATACGTCAAGTTTAAATCATAAACATGCATGCTCTAACAAGAAGGGCCAATAGCTCTGGAAAAGAAGGGGCGTTCAGGACCAGTCTGCTCTCTGGGCCAGTCCCCTGGAGATCAGCTATGTTGTGATGTGCATATTCCTTTCTAGATGCTTCAGAGAAAGCAGCTCTTGGAGAAGGGAAGGCAGTGTCTGGCAAGCTCAGGGACTGTCATATGGCCAGCTAGCATAAGCCAAGGAAAATCTGTTATCTACCAAAATTGCTGCAAAACAGATGGCAGAGGGGAGCAGGTTTGATGCCTGTGTGCACTCTTTTTGTGCTTTACCTTCCTAATCAAGGTGTTTGCCCAACGCTCAACCCCGTCCACCTGCCCGTGGGAATCCAGAAAGCCAGCACCTGCCTTTCTGCTGCCCCAGACTAATTTACATCAAAGTTTAATGAAAGAACAAATAAAAAACTTTCAAGATCTTGTTGGCAATCTGCAGCAACCCAAGAGCCTCCACCTCTCCCCCCACTGATACCTCCCCTTCCTCAGAAACCTCCCTCTCCTGAGCCACCCCACCCCACACCTCAGCCCAGCAACCTGCGGGGTACTGGCCTGGGAGGGACAGAAGGAAGAGGGGCAGGACCAGAGGAGGGAAATGGTTGGTTTTAGAGCTACTCTTCTATGAGCAGGAGTTTTGCTATTATTCTTCTGATGCCTCCTCTGCAGCAGCATCAGCTGAAGAAGTAGCAGGGAGGTACCAGCTTTGCTTCTTTTACTGGCGATGGTAAATCACTGAGCAAATCACAAGGAGATAAGCAGAAATGAAGCAGGGGTTTTTGCTGCTGCTGGTCCTTTTGTGACCATTCTCAGGTAGCAAATCCCAGGGACCCCTTCGGCATCTGACAGCAACTGCCTTTTACAAAAGGGATGGAGCAACCTGCACCTTCCTTCCATCCCCTCCACTTCTTCACATCCCGTGTACAACTGTTGCTTAGGGTGGCCAAATTCATGGGCATTTCACAAAGAATCTAGGGGCTACGAGAGGTTGGGGCTCATTGCTTCATCCCCATGGTCTTCATGTTTAAAGCAGCCTGACTTTCAGATGCGAAACCTCACCCCACAAATTGACTGTCTTCACTCATATGCACTCATTCAGCCTCTTCTGTAGACATTCCCCATGCAGGAGAAATGCTTCCAGCCCATGATGGTCAAGCAGGTGAAGATGCCTGAATGTCAAACAGCAACACTAAAACCCCAAGAGAAAACAAAAGGTTGAAAAAAGCAACTGGACTGATGGAAAAACCCAACGCTGGGGTGATGAGAGAAGGAAAAGAAATGATTGGGCTGTATCGCAGGATCAGTCCGCATGAGCTTTATCTCAGGAGCCTTTTGTGCCCTCAAGAAACATC